CGGGGTGATAAGCTATCAGACATCCTTCCTTTTGACAACATCAGTGGGATCTCTACGAAGAACATTTGGACAAATTTGGATTTCTGCGGAAGCTATCATGTTGACGTCAGTCACCATGTCGTCAACGGACCCAGGTGCAGCCCCCTGTGGGCTTCTGGGATCCCTTGGGTCTCTCCGCTGATGGTGACTTGGAAGTCTTCCAGCGCCGTCGCGAGGTTGAGCTGAAGCACGGCAGGAGCGGAGCAGATATGCAGAAATGTTGCTGTCACAACAAAGGGGTTCTCTACGTCTCTAGATTGAAGTGACTCTGAGTAGTGCAATGTTGCCCTGAGGATCTCCATGTTTGCCTGCATGGGATACATCGTGCCTGAGTACTTCAAGTTCCCTGGAGAGCTCTCCCCCAAGCTTGGCCTCAAGTTCACTGACATCCCAAACGGGTTGGCCGCTCTGACCAAGGCATTGGATTGGTTGTGATTGTTTTGCAAGATCGCAAAACATACTTTAATACTTTGTTTTCACAGTTTGTATTGATGGACCGAGTCTAGATGTGAATCTGCGAGCGAAGCGTTGCAATGCAGGTCCCAGGCCAGGGCTGGGCACAGATCGTTGCCTTCTTGGGAACCTATGAGCTTTTCATCAACAAGCCAGCACCACAACCGCACATATATACAACTATGTTTGCATGTGTGCACATGGTCCGTTTAGGAGTTCAGACCGTCACTCTTGCGTGAATTGAAGCTTGTTAGATTCAGCTGTTCTATATTACAGTATGATAACAGAGAACAGAGGTTGGTGACGAGCCGGGCAACTATGGCAAGGGCAACCTGGGCCTTGGCTTCTTTGGACCGGTGACCAATCCGGAGGCACGCAAGAAGAAGCTGTCCGCCGAGTTGGCCAACGGCCGCTTGGCCATGATGGCGATCATTGGAATGTTACTTAGCTGCACCAGTGTTGCCTACATGATTAGGGAATTTGCCTTTTGTGAAGCATGACACAGTGTTTTTTCTGTGTTTTTGCTGTGCTGGTTTTCCTGCCCGTTCTGTGTGAAGAGGTTCTTCCAAGATGGCCTCACCGGATCCGCGTGGGGTGATTGGGCTCTCTACACTGACTCCCCACTGCGCAGTGGAAAGATGAGCCCCGGCTACAACACACTCCCCGAGTTCAACAAGCCAAAGACTGGCCAGTCACCCAGGAGAAAGCTTTACAGTAGGCTTGCAGTATACGATAAAGGAGAACACATGTCATTGAATCGCTGGGATAGGATCAGAGTGGATGTTCAAGTCACTTGAGTATCTTAAGAATGAACGTGAACTAAGGCTTTGAGGGTCTCATTGGCGACCAGGCGCCTCTTGGCTTCTGGGACCCCCTGGGACTTGCCAAGGACAAGGATGTGGAGGTGTTCAAGAGGCCCGGCCCTGCAGTGCAGCAACTTTGGCTGGTACAGAGTGCAGCTGGCCGTTGTGTTGTTTGAGGCGCCGTGAGACTGAGATCAAGCACGGCCGTGTGGCTATGTTCGCCACCATGGGCATAAAGCTCAGAATGTCTTGGTTGGGTACACACGTTTTGACCAAGGACACTCTGTTTTGATGTTAGCCATATTGGCTTATGTTGCCCAGCTCCACAATTTGAAAGGCTACATTGTGCCGGAGTACTACAAGTTCGATGGCTACCTGTCCCCATCCATGGACCTGAAATTCGCCGATGTGCCAAACGGCTTGAAGGCTTGTTGAGCTAATGCAGTAAAGGAAGTCATACGTAGAATAAGAATGAATAATGAAGAGCTCTCTCTCTCTCTCTCTAGAGATAGAGATGGAGATAGAGATGGAGAGTGTAATGCAGTCTTACTTTGGAGATCTGAAAATCTGAGACATTTTTTGTGGAGGCACTCTCCGTGGTGCCCAAGGAGGGCTGGGCTCAGATGCTTGCCTTCGCCGGCTTCCTTGAGTTGGTTGTGAACAAGAAGTCATCTGAGCCAGGCCGGAATTGGAGAGAGTCGGAGGGCTTGTTGATTCTTGATTTTCCTTGCTTTACAAGGCAACTACGGCAAGGGCAACTTTGGCCTCGGCAACGTTGGATTTGGCAATTCCATCCAGGATCCTGCCAAGAGGACTGCACACAGATTTGCGCGCTGCATGCTGGTCTGAGTTAGACACTTTGCAAGGAACAGGCAGCTCAGTGCTGAACTCGCAAACGGACGGTTGGCGATGATGGCCATCATGGGCATGTTGCTTGACGCTTTACTTGCCCATTGATTTACTGACATGTATATGATCTATAGTAGTTACATTCATCAAATCTATGCAATGTTTCTCCCAGGTTCTTCCAGGATGGCTTGACTGGCTCCGCATGGGGCGACTGGGCCAACTACACCGACAGTCCGTTGAGGGCCTTCGAGAGCGAGCTGGGCGTAGCTTGGATTCAGGGGAAGATGAAGATGCACTTGATTTTGTATGGCTTTTAAGCCATGAGGGACTGGCAGAATCAAGGAGCTTTAAGGAGCTTTTCAGTGCCTTCAGAAGTCAATATAGGAGCCTCCTCTGACTCCCTAGTTGGAGACAAAGAAGACTGCATAGTCACACAGCATTCACGAACTTGCGGGGTGATAAGCTATCAGACATCCTTCCTTTTGACAACATCAGTGGGATCTCTACGAAGAACATTTGGACAAATTTGGATTTCTGCGGAAGCTATCATGTTGACGTCAGT